GCCGAAGCGGAGGCGATGAGGCTTCCTCTTTTACCTCTTCTTTATGGTAAAGCGACGTAAACTGGATCTTGATGTTTGTGCTGGGGAATCGGAAAGTACATCTGAGGAAAAAAAAGAGAGAAAGATTTGGTGGTCTGCATGGCAAAAACCTCTCTGAAGAAACTTGCCAAGAAAACCCTATGATAGGGTAGCCTTAGAGCTGCCAAAAGTAAAAAATGATCTGTCTTTCCATTCAAGATGAACCTGAAGAAATCCATTTTGTTAGTATTCCTAGGTATTTTCCCAGAAAGAGAGACAGAAGAAAATAAGCAAATAAAGTTTTCAACCTGCACCGTGTACCTAAAGAGCTATATATCACTACTCTACAAAATCCAGATATCCCACAAAATGTACCTTTACCACTAAAACAAAACCTCCCTGTTGTTTTGTTCAAGAAAATGCCTAGGCCTGCTCCATTACACTTGACACTTTCCCCATCAGCGGTTATGTCTGGCTCTAACTAGACGCCCAGACATCAAACATCTTATAAGTATGGACAGCTATGATGGACGTTATAGCATACAAGTCAATTTTCTGCCGGCACATTCCTCTCTCCAGGACTACAGAGTCTTGGCAGGGTTACTGTTAATGTACTACATCTCTCCAATGGTAAGGTCTTAAAAAAGAGTGCAGAGATTGCAATTCCAATTCTGAAAAATCCTGTGGGAGAAAACATGACAAGGGAGCAATTTCTTCCAGATAAAAATGCCAAGAGCTGAGCTGCAGATTTGGACAGACTTAGCTGCCCTGCAACCCTAGAAACTTGAACCCTCCTCTCCCATCTGGAGATGACCGATGAAAACAGGAGGCACATGTCCAGGCCCTAATATATAGTAACTCTCCTCTGACTCCGCCTTGGCTTCACATATGCTGACGGTACCCACATTACCATGCAGAAATGCATATTGAGAGCTTGCATGCCCATCATTCCTTTTCATTTCCACAATTAGGAAGGCACTTCTGCAATCTTACATATAAAATAATGAAAGGTAGAACAGGACTGAGGAGCCAGCATGGTGTAGCCATTTGAGTGTTGGACTAAGACTCTGGAGACAAAGGTTCGAATCCCAGCTTGGCCATGAAACCCACTGGGTGACCTGGAGCAAGTCACACCTTCTCAGCCTCAGAGGATGATAATGGCAAACCTCCTCTGAACAAATCTTACCAAGGAAACCCCAAAATAGCTTCACCTTAGGGTCACCATAAGGTGGAAAAGATTGAAGGCACACAACAACAACAACAACAACAGAACAGCACTGGAAAAAAATGAATTGTTTTAACCAGTACCGGTAAGTCTGAAATTAAAAATTCATATATTATTAAGTCCTCACCCCAAATCATACGATATTGTTAGACTAATGGATTTTTAAAACACTGCCCTCCTCATCATTTATTCTTAATTCTTAGAGTGGAAAAAGACACTGTATCCAAGCAAAAGAAGTAAAAGAGAATTGCAAATATGGCTTTCTTTGTAAATCTCCTTCATAAAGCATTCAAAATTCAACAACTGCTGCTAGGAATGCATACAAAATACAAAATAAAATAATAATAAAAAAAAGCAGGGGAAAAAGTTGTAAAGAAGGAAGCAGCAGTATTTCAAAGCCACGGATCAAAAGCCACAGAAGAAAGCACTATTTTTTAAATTAACCACCCGAGAAAAGAAAAAAGCTGACTCGTTGATCTCTCTTTCCTTTTTTCTTTTAAATGCACACCTTTTTACAGTTCGCTGGGCACTAGGAACTGTAAACACGCCTGTATAAATAGGAAGGCTTCCATAAATCACTGTGTGGAACTGTAAATTCTACAGACATCTTGCAGTTACTCAATCCGTGAAAATATTTGCAGTGTAAGAGCTTGTTTACACTCCCAAAGATCTGGAGGTCTATTTCAGAGGCGGCAGTCTCAGCAATGTTATCAAAAGAGAGTAATGCTTGCTATCCATATCAGACAATAACTTGTGAGATGTTGCAAAGACACCTCTCCGGTCACCATTTCTGGACATTCACACTCTGCTATTCCAGTTTATTTAACTCATTTAATGTATGTACAGTCTACCCTGCATACCAAAAACCATGAAAGAAGTTGATGCACAGTGGTTCCCAAACCTTGGTTCTCCAGATGTTTGGATTTCAACTCCCAGAAGCCCCAGCCAGCTTGTCCAATGGTCAGGAATTCAGTTTGAGACCACTTTAACTGCCTTGGCTCTGAGCTAGGAAACCCTGGGATTTGCAGCTTATTGTGGCACAAGAGCTCTCTGACAGAGAAGGCTAAATGTCTCCCAGAACTACAATCCCCAGAATTCCTTAGCACTGAGCCAAGACAGTTAATAGAAGTCTCAAACTGGATTGTTTCTGCAGTGTGTTTTGCACCAGTGACTCTGAACTGTGACCATTGCTTTGGAACAGGGGCTCTTTCACATTGCACAATTAAAATATGATTTCATCCTAACTGCCATGGCAGCACCCTATGGAATCCTGGGATTTGCAGTTTAGGGAGCAGTATTTAGAGTTCTCAACCAGAGAGCTCTAGTACCTTACAAACTACAAATCCTAGGACTCCATAGGATGCAGCCAGAGCAGTCATTGTGTTATTATTGTGTAGTGTGTAAGGGCCCTAGGTCAGTTCAACCTCTTGCCAAAATCAGTGTGTGGACCAACCCAGATGGACCACTTTGTAATCATTGTTGTTTTATTGATAGGGAACAAGTCAAAACCCACAATGTCTCCACTAGGTTTGTTTCACATCTAATTGTGTAGTCCGTACAAAAGCACATAAGCGTGTCCCAAAGCTTCTGTTCTGGAATAACTGGAAAATATAGCTTGGAGGACTTTCTTTAAAGTGTATATACAATTATTTGAAATTATACTAGCTTGGTCTTACCAATAATGCCTGGCTAAAGAGTATTTCTCTAAGTCCATCTGTGTCAGTTATAGATTGAGAAAGAGAAGGGGTAATCCAGCATTTTAAAGTTTCTCTGCCTGGTCACTTGGGTAAGATTTCCACTCACCACAGGTGACCCAGAAAGCTTCACAACCTGCATTTGAAAGCTAAACAGAGAACTGGGAAAAAGGAAAGAGAAAGTAAGCGAGTCTTGGCAGATAATGGTAGGCAGAAGAGAAAGTATTGAGAGCTATGATGGGTAGACAAAAACCCTCTCTTATTGCAGCTACCAGCAATTATCTCTTATACTTCTTAACTAAAGGCTTTCAGACTAAACAAGGTATAAAAGAAATGTCCAGCAAATCTGTTCACATCAATGTTATTGCCATATTAACCACAGGCCACAACAGAATATGGAATACAATATAAAAAAATTATACAAGGCAGTAAAACAAGGCAGTAAAAGCATCCGTTACAGAAATTATGAATTGACCCAATGAATTTTCATTACAGTAGGTGTGATGGCAGGTGACAAAACCAATGCACCAGTTGCTTCCTTAAACAACAAAGGTTAAACAACTTAAACGACTCAATAGTGGTTAACAAGAAGTCTAATTTGAGAAGATGACGAAGAGCTTTAACTATAAGAATAGGGATGGGCAAAGTGCAAGTTTGGGATGTATGTGGTTCCAAGGATGTTTTAGTGGTCCTTGAACCATCCAGAATTGCAACAAAAATATTCTTCTGCCCCTCTGATGCTGAATTGCCTTTCTGTGGGCAGGAAATTCACTTTTTAAATAGGTTGCAGGCTTCCTGCCCATTCAATATTTAAAATTCATTTTCAAATTCAGAAGCAGGTTTCTGGCTTCTTCCAGTTTGGCTTTTCGGAGATGGGAATTTTTTTATTTAGGAATGCATGAAACTCTGAGAGTTTCAGGGATAAATTTTTGCCCCCAGAGCTGCTGCAGTTGCCTGTGCTTGCATTAGAAGTAAAGAAATAAATCTGTTTCAGATCAATGTATGCAGAGGATGTAAAAAAGAAAGCGTACAAGATCTTGCTGCTTTGCTGAAAATTTGAATTTTCACTCCCGAATGTTTGAGGGCTCTTAGTTGAAGGAACTGGGCCTGGAGGTATTTGGGGATGATTTTTTTACTATTAGAGACAAGGGTAAACATATTCAGTGCCGCAGCATTTGAACACACTCTTCTCTGTACAAGGGTAACTGTATGCAAAGGGATCTTGGCGCACCTTTGAGACTAACTGCGTGAAAGATGTTGTAGTATAAACTTTCGTAGATTTGGTCAACTTCTTCAGATGCACAGTAATTGGCATGAATGTTTCTTGTGGAATCCTGGGGTTTGTAATTTGGAGAGGCCTGTTGGAGAAATTTAAATATCTCATAAAACTACAAATCCCAGGATGCAATCATGACAGACAAAAGAGGGACATGGTGCTTTAATTGTAGTATGGTGTGAAAGGGTCCTTAGAAGGAGCAAAACAACATGTGGCCTTCGTAAGGGCGCATGATAACATCCAAGCACATTCAATAGCACAAAGGCTGGTTTTGTCTCATTGGAGCCTGAAGGAAAAAAAGGAACAAAAACAAAACAGAAATACACATGCACACACACACACACACACAGTGAAGTGCAAAATTGTTTGCTTCCTGCATTCCAGTTACAACATTTCGTCCAATATGGCAAAAATATGTTTGCTCCTGGCCTGAATTTCAGCATGGAAAGCATTCTGGTTGAATGGGTCATTTCAGCCAAACCCCCAAACAGCCTGAAATAGCAAAAGCCCTTTCTCTGCTTTAAAGAAAGCTTTTTGCAGCCTGACACTACAACAGTGTTAGGAAGCAAACAACTATAAGCAATACAGTCCAAGGATCTAACTGAATAGCGCTACTGCTCCTTGGATCGGATTTGATATCCATAGCTCCCTAGCATACAATGCCACTACATTACTTTTGAAACAATCCTCAAAATGTTACTTTTTGACTCATAAAACAATCTCTTGGCAACTTTTAAGCACTGCAAATCATTCATAAGTATATGGATCTGTATTTATTCCAATGAGAACCAGCATGGCGTAGTGGTTTGAGTGCTGGATTATGACTCTGGAGACAGGGTTCGAATCCCAGCTTGGCCGTGTAAACCTACTGAGCGACCTTGAGTAAGTCACACACTCTCAACCTCAGAGGATGGCAATGGCAAACCCCATATGAAATAACATGCTAAGAAAACCCAGGGTGGGTTCTTTTTGGGTTGCTATAAGTCAGAAAACAGAGAGAGAAAAAAAAGGGAGGGAAACCACAGGAGTTCCCCATCTCCAGCATGCTGAAAAGCAAAACAAAAAACAGATTTGTAAGTTTGGCCACCAATATGGGAATCCTAAGAAAAGTGGAGGCTGGTGAAAGAAAGGGAAAAAAGCGTTTTGAAAGAAGCTTTCAAACATTTGAAAGAAGGAGTTAAGAAATATTGGTGGTAGGGTAGAAAAGAAGAATAGTTCAGCAATATCATTTGTAAACACTGCAGACATAAGAGGATGCAAACTAGCAATAGAGGTAATCAAATGGAAGAAAAACATATTTTGTTACAATGAATCACCCAATCCAAACGATTGGGAGAAGGAGAGGGGACTTAAGTATATAGAAAATGTGATTATTTGTATATAATTGCATATGTTTACTATTTCAGTATGTCTGGTAAAAAAAACACCTTTTATGTAAAAAATGTGTGTTTACATATGCAAGGCTCTAGTTTGTTGTTACTATGGATATTCAATCTTTCCAAAAAATACAAAATATTTAGCACATTTATTTTTACAGCTCATACACTACCTTTTGTCCAAACATCTCTGAGCTCTAGGTAACCAAAACCAACACACCCCACCATTGGTTACAACAAATTCAAAAACATCCCCATTATAAACACCACAAAATGATTTTAAAGCACAGAACAGAGGCCAAGGAACTTTGCAGCAAGTAAAATAAATTTAAAGTGGAGGACAGAAGAACAAAATCCACAGAGCCAAAATAGTATAAACCATAGCACCGTTTTAAAAGCTTCGGATTTTTGTTTCAAAGGTATTTGCTTGGCATTTGAAACATGTTGTCAAGGCAGGCCTCCTTTGGGAGGGCATTCCCATAGCCAAGAGGTTGAGAAAAATCCAAAACACACTGCAGAAATAATCCAGTTTGAGACCGCTTTAACTTCCCTGGTTCAATGCTAGGTAATTTTGGGAACTGTAGTTTTGTGAGACACTTAGCTTGCGTGTCAGAGAGCTCTGGTGCCATACTAAACTACAATTCACAGGATTCCCAAGCACTAAGCCAAGGCAGTTAAAGCAGTCTCAGACTGGATTATTTCTGCAGTGTGTTTTGGATCACACAGGCCCTTCTGTCCTTTCTGGGGGAAAATCACAGGATCACATTTTTAAAATCAATTAAATCAAATTGAATAGCTCCACCATTCTCTGCTGGCTGAAAGCATGTCGTTCCCTGGATGTGACACTCTTTTCCCCATTATTAAGAGTCCCCATATTATGACCTAAAGCATCTCTCACAAAATATCTCCTTTTCAGCTAGTCCAGCGATGCAGCTGTTCCTGCAGTACCTGATAGCTGTCTGCATTCCTTTGCTATTAGGTAAAGAAAGAAAACTGAACGGGTGAAAGGGGGTTGGGAAGCGCTGCAATTTCATATTCGGCTGTGGGAATGCTTCCAGTCTCCTCCCTGCACCCCAAATACACACACACACACCCTCTCATTCCCAAATATTGAAAATGTGGGATTGCGTAAAGAAAGGCACTCTGAATTAAGAGGCTTTCCGATGAAAGGGAAGAGTCAGAAAGTGGCCATACAGCCTAAATGAAAAAAATTAAACAGCCTGCTTAGATCAGGGATGGGCAACCTGAGGCTCGTGGCCTGCATACCCCCCCCCCGGATCATTTTTATGGCTCCCAAAGGTAAATAAATAAATTAGCAAAACTTTTTTTTTGCTCCAAAATGTCCCCAAAGGATCTCTGCAATGGGTGGGGAGGGCATTTCTGCCACATTTGGAGACCCCTAAAGCTCCCAGGAGTCCAAACAACGTTGAATATCCGTGTAATGACTTGAAGGCACATAATAAAACAACACATTTAAAAACAAAACTAAGAGTTACCAAAGCAAGAGTCTGTGCTTTCTAGAGGGAGATAAGGTAACCAAAACCAGGGCAATAAGATCATTTACCGTTCACAACATTTCTTTGAACAAATCTTCTGTTGTTGTGTTGCTCTGTCTACAGCAAAATCTAGCGACCCTCATAGGTCACACAGAAGACAAAGCACTAGTAACCATTCTCTATCTCTTGTACAGCCGGGTGGAATCACAAACAAGAATTCAATTTCACTTTCTCCATTTCCTGGCATGTCACTACATACAAACCAGGAATGGTGGTAAAAAACAAATTCTGCTCGACTCCTAGACAAATCACCCACCACTCCTGAACTGCTTTCCTCACTAGTTTAATTTACAAACTACTGTATAGTCTCGTCTAAACTAAGATTCCTGGGTAACAAGAAGCCAGGAATGGGCAGAATAATAATTTACTCCTCCTTTCAAACATTTCTGGAAAGTGTGCTCTGAAGGCAGAAAAACAGGACCGATCCCTGGTTGCCATCTACCCAGCTTCTGAAAGCAGTATGTAGCACCAAATGCAAGGTCTCCGATGAAGACGTTGGGTAACAGGAGATGGCTGGCATCCCTTTGGGGCATACACAGACATAGGTTTCTGTTATGCATGTGTATATCCTTTTTGAGACACTGTGGAAGTTGGTATTCCTTTCCTCCCTCTGCAGAGCCCAAAGTCCCCTCCCGACTCACTGAAAAGCCTTTGGAGACCCCTGCACAGGGCTAAGAACCACTAGGTCTCCCAAAGATCTCAGTACTGCCATATTCATTTACTGCCTGGCTATGGGGATGTAGCTTCAGAGGACGTTCGGTCAGGAGGCGATATATACCTCAAGTTAGTATAAATCTGCATACAGACCTATTATGCTATGCTGAGCCATACAGGTTTGCAACCATATGCCTACAATAAGTCACAGGGAGACCCACGTTGCTTTTGCACCACTTAGGGCCCCCCAATTTTAATATTTTCCACTCTTTCCCTAGACCAAGTTTGGGCAATTTCAGGTGGGTCTGGGGAAAGGGATTTTCTTTCACCCTTGACACCAACTCTGGGCTGTACCAGGGCCAGAGGTATCCAGAAATAGGCTAACATTACAAAACAAAATCAGATCTAGAAATGGCTGGACATCCATTTCCAGTTTGAAAGGGGAGATCAAAAGTTTTGAGGGACCCACTTCCAGGAGTGGCAAAGCCTCCCTTCTGGCCACTTTTTGGCATGTTGGGATCTTCAGGGGATGCAGAAAGGGAATATGAAGACAGCACATTGCCCACCCCTTGCTCTTGCCCCCAGAACAATTTTGCTCCCACTCTTCTATTTGCCCTGCTGAACTTCAATACTCTTACTTTGAGATGTTATACTTGAGTGCTATACTAATTATAAGTATAGGCTTACAAAAACACTTTTAGTGGGTACTTTAGAAAACAACAACAACATACCACCTTTATGTTCCAGGTATATTTGTCAGATAACTGGAACTGCTCCCTTTCAAAAGCGGGACTGGGTTTGTTGCTATGGAATATCTAAACAGCTCCCGAAGGCAGTTTCCAAAGATTTTTACACCAGCTGGGACACAAAGAAAGATGAAGTTGAGAACCTCTGACCTAAATCAAGCAAAGGGCTGACATACTGAAGGTTATGAATAGTTTTTTAAAATGGCCACAAGCTAGTTCAAACTGAATCAGCATCATTTCCAATGTGAACTTGTATTGAATTCCACGGATGTATGCCTCCATCCCTACTGCCTGATTCTCCCCTTCAACTGCAAACAGTGGATGAATGAGCCTTTAAGTGTGTTCTGCATTCCATCGGGTGTTTCCAAATTTCCTTGTCCCCTTGGTAATCCTGGCATAGCAACCTGCCAATATGGGTTTGCAAGAAACATTAGTGCGACAGCATGCATCTCAAAGTGGAAGACGATGATCCTAATAGGTTACAAGTACATTCTCAGCTCCCAACATCTGTGTATCAACAAGGATGGAAGGAAAGCATAAAACTAGGACCATATCTTGCTTCTGAAAAATGGAGTACCATGAATTAGTTTCCATCAAATGTACTTTATTGTTGCCTCTCCCCACTGTGGACCCATACATGAAAGTGTACAAGCAACATAAGATCACACTCTCTCACTACATCACACAACCCAGCAAATCTCATAGCATGCACACAAAAAAGTTATTGTGTGCTGCTCAGGTGTCTTCATAAGGCTATGCAGGCATTTAAACAAAGTAAGTGTGCCTTTAGAATATTATCTTCAAAAGCTCTAATTACATGCTGTGATTTCTTTTTACTTAATACCAATTAAGTTAGAGGCAACGAAAATTTCCCACTTATATTTGCTGAAAAACATTTTGCAATATCTCAGCACTCAAGCACTTTGTGCAAGCTTGCTTGGATGAGGCATTTTCAGGGAAAAAATGCTACCTTAATTTACTATGCAGTCAACATGAAATGGTGGCTCAGAAAAGGCTTTAGGGTAGCTTGGAAAATCATCATTGATACTGGAGAATAATAAAGTAAGTTTTGGCTATGAAGGAAGCACAAACAAAAGGACAGAGTACCACAACCCGATTCTCCAGTCACACTATGACCCCTCACTCTTTGGGAGACATTTAGTGAGAGTTAAGAAACCTTACATTTCTGGGCTGAAGGTCTCAGATCCCCAAACCAGCATGGCAATGTGTCAAGTCATATTTCCAGACTCAGCATGTGGTCAGCTTCAAAGAAAGGGAGCGTTAAGACTTTCTCCTTCCATGTGTCCATTCCAGTTTCTATACTCCAAGGGCACCCTATGAAGGATGTTCTTGTTGTGAATTACCCTTGAGTCGAACTCAGCTCATGGTGACCCTATGGATGAGACATCTCCAAGACCTCCTGTCCTCAACTGCCCTGTTCAAGCCTGCAGACTCTGACTGAGTCTAACCATCTGGTGTGTAGTCTTCCTCCCTTTCTACTAACCTCTACCTTTCCCAGCATCATTGT